CCAAAGCTATCAAGATCTAGGTGTTGCTATTTCCATTTTCACATAAGGAAACAAAGGCTCAGAAAGGTTAGGGGACTTGGTCAGGGTCACAGAGCCAGTAGATATTGGAGTCAGGAGTTGAACCCAACTCTGACCAACTCCAGCTTTGATCTTTCGTAATACCCATCCCAGCACCAGTGAGGGGAGATGGGAACCAGAGGGACAGGCTTTTTTTTTTTTTTTTAATTTCCTCTTTCTGTCCTGTCTACCTGACACTTCCCAGTATGCTCCACCAGAAGGAGCAGGATTTGGGTTTCGTCTCACCTTTACATTCTTGTTACTCAAAGTTGAAGCATCAGCATCACCTGGGAGCTTGTTAGAAATGCAGAATCCCAAGCCCCACCCAGACCTACCGAACTAGAATCTGAGTTTGAACAAGCTCTTTGGGGATGTGTGTGCACACTGAAGTTTGAGAAGCCCTGCTTTGCATTCTCCTCCTCCCCAGCTCCAGCCCCGTGGCTAAGCCTTAACAGTAGGTGAGCGGTGGAGAGAAGGGTAAGTCTCACCCCAAGAGGACCTAAATTTAAGTAAGATAACTCACAAGCCTTCCTGGGTTTCACCAGCTTTTAACACTTGGCTCCCGGTCTAGCAAAATTACAGAAAGGAATATAAAACAGATTTGTGAGCCTGGAAGAACTGGTTGGCGGTTTACGTTTAGAAACTACTGTGAGTTTACTGTGAGAAAAAAAATCATTGATCACACTTTCTTTTTATGAAATGTCATTGAAAGTGAAGTGAAGTGATAGCAAAGAATCTCGTGAGATAATACAATGGTGAGATATTGTTGAAATGACAGCTGAATTGATTCAAGGCCTGATAAAATGATCATATAGGTGATTGTAAAGGTCTCCCTGTCACCCAGCCTGGAGTGAAGTCTGTATTGCAGCATCTCAGGGCTCTGTTTCCAGCCTTCTCCTGGTCAAAGTGATTATTTGTGACTTTGAGGACATCAGGGCCATTTCACTGGAATTTATTCTTAGAGACATAATATAGCTACAGTTCATGGCAGATAGGTTATTTTATAATCAGGGCCTATTAGAAGTGTAGTAAGTCATTTCATGGAAACCTGCAGGCAAACTCCAGGCCAGATGTACTCTTTCTCTTAGAGCCACGCTAGGAAAACTTGCCCTAATAAACCTCCCAGGCAGTGTGGGCTAAGGACAGGGCTGGGCAAGGAGTCCATCCCCAGTGCAGGAAATAAGGGGTCTTTGCACAGAATTTGAAAACAACCATAATAAAAGTCAATCTGTCTTTTACTGTCACCATGCACCAGCAATCCTAGACAATGTCAGGGACAAAACATTCCTTCTTTCCCTAAAATCTATGTGGGTCTAAGTTCTGAAAATTTGCTGTTGGGTATACTTCATGTTAGCACATTTTAAAATTACTTATCCTTTAATAAACATTGTATTCCACTTGGAAGTTAATTCTGAGGACCCTCAGTTATATAGTCAGCCCCTAACACACATGTTCCCGGCTATATGTGTTTGTTTTTAGCATTAAGTTCTTAAGGTTCAGTACATGTCTCCAAGCCCTGTAATGCTAGAAAGTCCTACATTTTAAGTAGATTAGAAATAAGCAGTGATTGTAAAGATGAAGAAACAGAACTTCTGTTATTCTAGGTGATCACCTGGAATTTTTATTTGTATTTGAAATCTAAAATAGTGAAATAGAGTGAGAACTGTGACATGTAAAGTTTTTGTTTGGTAGGCTCAAATTTCAGTGTATACGTGAAATATAAATACATCAATATATGTATATGAATAAAAAGATGAGGATATTATACTAGAATATTCTAAAAATATCAGTTTGGGTGTAAAATATTAGAGCAATCTTAATGTGGGGTTGCACTCTGATGGGAGCCCCTGGAACAGACAGGCATGGAGTTACAAGTGACAGGATACAAGGGACAGGCAGCACGGTTATGCTTGCTTCTAACTCTTCCCTCTCCAGACCACTTCCTGGCTCTCCTCCCTTTCTTTCCTGCCTTGAGTTTGTGTTCCTGGTCCGGGTCCTAAGACCTGAGAGGTGGGCATCAGCTCCTCCTTCCTCTTTCCCAACCTAAGACATACTCCCAAGTTTGCAGATGACTCAAAGCTTAGCACACCAATATAAAAGATGACAGAATGAAAATTCAAAATGATCTTGCCAGTTTGGAATGCTACACGGAAAGCATCCGGATAAGGACAAAGGTGAAGGCTCCATTTCAAGTTAAACAAGTCAGTGGCAGGAAGGAACTTTTGGGGTTGATGAATATGTTTATTATCTTGATTGGAATAATGGTTCTGTGGATAGATGCATATGTCAGAACCTATAAAATTTACCTTTTAAATATGTGCAGTATATTATATGTCAATTACACCTCCATAAAGCCCTCTAGAAAATGCAACGCCCTGTGGGCAAACAGAGGGAAACTCTGAGGAACCTTTGAGGAAACTCGAGAGGTTCTAGTGAATATATTTTTAATTTGACTTTAAATTAATGTGAGTTTTTCGCTTAAGTGAAACTAATAGAAGCACAATGTTGAGATCCAGGAAGTGTAAATAGCACCACACCTGGATACTATGTTCTGGGCCCCATGATTGTGAAGTGCTGACACCCAGGGTCTCACAGTTGAGTGTCCAGGAGACAAGATTTGGAGCCTTCCTGGGACCCAATCTACTCAGATTCTTCAGGAATGAAGCAGTCCCTGCTAATGAGCCTCAAATTCCTTCGAGAGAATGAAATCTAGATTTGAGACAGATGAGAGAAATTTATAGCTCCCCATCTCCAGGGGTTTAGAGATTCCACTAAGTGGTCAGGGTTCCACGTAAACCCCACGTGCTCTATTCTGCTGGGACACTCGTGACAAATGACCTTCTTAAGCAGCGTACACCCTCTGCTTAGTTATAATGGGCTATGGATTCTGTGCAATTCCAAGTATGCCGGTGTAATTCTACTCCTCCTCTCTCACCAGGAAAGCTTAAGGAAAGGCTGGTGTAAAGTAAGGGAGATGTTATTAGAGGATAACCTTGAATCTGCTCTAACCTATAAATAAGTACTGACCTTTCACACCCTTGAGCACTTTATGATTATTAAGAAATTACTAGCAATGTATCTCATAGCAGATGGGCCCATAGCAGTGCGTTGAGTTGGTCGGCCAGAGGCTGAAAACTGCCTGGCCTCTAGGAATCCCAGGATGTAGCTTAGAGCAGCGGCCCGTGTAGTATCCTCAGCTGGCTCTACACCCACCTCTCCCCTTCTAGATGCTGTGCTGGGAGCACTGGGCCTGGCCTTCAGACTGTTCCTTGAGCCTGACCTCCTAGCACTGGCCACCGGATCTTACTTGATTGCCCTGCTACATCCACCTTCTTTGGCTGTAGGGACCTGCTGCAGGCATATCAGAGGCCACCAGAATGGTGGGAGAATTCCAGAGACCATGTAGTACAAGGAATTATTCTAGAATTTGGGAGAATTTAACTTGGAGAAGGGAAACGAATGGGAAGGAAGGCAGTGGTCTTCAGATTCTAGAAAAACTGACCTGGCCAGGCTTGTTCCATGAGGCAAGGATCCAGAGGGACAAATTAGGGTACAGGAGTGTTTTCTGGGGAGGAAAATTCAAACTTAACACACAGAGGAAGTTTGTAACAATTAGGATTGGCCAAAAACAAACTGACTTTTCTTAGAAACAGTGAACTCTTTTTCACTGTGGGAATTAGAAAATTCATGGTCAGTGATGGACACAAGGGATTTCTGTGCTTGGATGTTCTGTGGAAGTTTCTTTCTCCAGGCTCTAGAATCCTGTGATTCCAAAAGACCTGGTTTTCTTACACTTTTGAGATCCCTGTTTAGACTGTTGACTCCAACCTGAGTTTACATATCCACTTCCTCCCGGGGGCTCGGCACTTCCCTGCACATCACTGAATTTGTTTTCATCATTTTTTTTTTTTTGCTTCCATGGCAGGGATATCTCTTCCCCGCATTGCAGGAGTTGCAGTTGGGGCCCAGAGATATAGGATCACATCAGATTGCACTCACTGTGGCTGTCAGGTTACGTCTTCAAGTACGGTTCCTGTGTAGCCTATTCTGTTTGAATGGCAGGTTTATTACGGGGGACACGTGGCTCTCCAGTGGGAACACTGGGGGGCCGGAAACACAGGGTGAGGAGGCTCGTCTTCCTACATGTCTCTCCCTCACCCATGGAATGGGTATGAATTGTTCTTCCTCATCACCTCCAGCCTCTCTGAGCTGGGAGAATACATCTGATGACACTAGTGACATCTGTAACCTTGTAATTCTTACTGTTGCAAAACACACAGAACCAGGACATATATCATAGTATGTAGACCTCCTTTCATGTACACCACTATCCTGCTTCTTGTTTCATCATATTGTAGATCATTATGATTAGATATTCTTTTGGGAAGGAGACATTATGTTCAACAATGAGGACATGTTGTATAAAATGCCCCCTTCCACGACACAGTGCGATGACCTATGACTTTTGGCCTGGGCACCATAAGGAATTTCGACCCATTCCCTTGGCCTGGAAGACTTCCTATGTTCCTCAGGTGTCTTCTCCAGTGTGTTCTGGGAATACCTTGTGTTCCCCTATCATAGTCTTGTCACACTGTATGGTGACTGCAAGTTCAGTACTTTCTCTGGTAAAATCTGTGGCATTCCCAGTGCCTAACACAGATGGGTCATGAATGTACTCTTGCGTGAATTGAACTGAAGGGCTTATATGCAGAGGGCAATAGTGTCCCCCACATCGGTCACTTGAAAATATCTGCTAAAGGGATAGTTATAGCTGGGAGGGACCTTTGGAAGCCCAAGTTCCTCATTTTGAAAAGTGGGAATCTGAAGTCTAGAAAGACAAGGACTGGCCCAATGAGCCAGTACCAGAACCTGTGTCTCCCACCAGCCAGCATGGTGACCTTTCCACTGTGCCCCCCAGTCACGTGTCTTCTCCTCATTTGCAGCCTTGTTAACTTTGTATGCCACACCTGCTTCAAGAGGCAGGAGAAGCTCCATCGCTGCGGGCAGTGCAAGTTTGCCCATTACTGTGACCGCACCTGCCAGAAGGACGCTTGGCTGAACCACAAGAACGAGTGCTCGGCCATTAAGAGATATGGGAAGGTGCCCAACGAGAACATGAGGTCAGAGCTGGGCCGGGCGTGGTGCTTGGGATTACCAAATGTCAGGCTGGGGGTGGGGACAGTGACACCATTCCCAGGCCTAAGGAAGCCAGGCCGACTGCAAATCAGGAAAGAGCCTTCGAGAGACTGGATCTGGTCACTTCTTCCATTCACACCCTTCAGGTCTCGGAGGGGGAACAGACTATCTACAGCAGCGACCCCAAACTGTAGCTGCTGGCTGGAGCTGGCCTGCAGACTGCTCCTATATGGCTCTCCAGTGCTTAGTGTTTTAAAACTGATCCACCAATGTTTACAAATTGGGAAATTCCACATTTTAAAAATTAGAGGTTCTGGCTTCTCTGGAAAAAAAACTGAAGATCTGGCAAAATGAGCTGGAGCCTAGGGTGAATTATGCCCCCGCTGTCTCACACTCAAGGCCTTGTGCTCTCTGAGTCCTCTCCTGTCCCTTTTTGCTCCCTCTCCTCTCCCAGAGCCCTCTGCTCCTGCCCGGCCAGAGCCCTCCCTGCTTCCTGGCTGTGCCATGCCGGGACTGCCTCCGGGCCTTTGCTCACTCTGTTTCCCCACCTCAACAGCCTTCTCCACTTTGTCTCTACCCAATCATTAAGAATATGAATAAGTGCACAAATGACACTGTCTATTACCTCATTTTGTCTCCTGAATACCTCTGGAGGGCAGAATAGCAGCAAATATTTTCCCTGCTTTACTGGCCACCAGATAGGTTCAGGGAGGTCAAGCGACTTGCCCAGGTTCACACAGTAAGAAGTGGAAACAGTTCGTCCAATTCCTTATCAGCGTTCATCCCAGGAAGACACACTGTTAGGAGAGACCCAGGCTGCCGCACCTCTCTGCATCCCCAGGCCCCCCGTGACCTGGCTCCTGCCCACCTCTCTGCCTTTATCTGGTCTCTACTCCTTGCTCCCCATGCTGCAGCCACCCTAGTCTTCTTGCTGTTTCTCCATCATGCGGAGCTCATTCCTCTTTCAGGGCCGTTGCGTTTGCTGCTCTCTCCTCCTGACGTGCTCTCTCCCCAGCCTTGCAGAGCCGGCTCTGTCTGTCCCTTCCAGTCGTAGCCCAGATGCACCTCCTCCTGATGCCTCCCCAGGTGGCCTTAGCTTCTCCTCCTCCAGCCACTTTCTGTCATGTCGCCCTGTTTTATTTTCTGCATAGTACGTACTACTTAAAATAATCTTGTTTACTATGCCTCACCCACTATAAGAAGCATCACGATAGAAGAAATTCTATCCTTCTAGTTCAAAATTGTATCTTGGGCCCAACACTTGCCTGAATGTATTATGCACGCAGTGTTTGTGCAATGAATGAATGAATGAATTCATGCATGCAGCGGAGGCCTCCCTGACACTGCTCTCTCCACAGGTTGGCAGCGCGCATCATGTGGCGGGTGGAGAGAGAGGGCACCGGGCTCACGGAGGGCTGCCTAGTCTCCGTGGATGACTTGCAGAACCACGTGGAGCACTTTGGGGAGGAGGAGCAGAAGGAGCTGCGGGTGGACGTGGACACGTTCCTGCAGTACTGGCCGCCCCAGAGCCAGCAGTTCAGCATGCAGTACATCTCGCACATCTTCGGAGTGGTAGGGTCCTGGGTTCCCTCCTCCGCCTCCCCAGTCCTTCTCCTTCTTCCTTCCCTGCTCCCCCTTTGGGAGGGTGAGATTTCTCAGAGGTGAACAGCTCTAAGAGGGAAGCTTCATTGGCCCTGGATGGTGACTTCTGTTTCTATAAAGATTGCATCTCCCCAGGCAGCCAGAGGCTCTGGAGATGTCTGCCCTCAGTTTACCAGATGTAACAGAACCACCTACTCACCCTTCCATTTCCAAGCCCAGGGACAGGACCCTAAATGACTCAACTAAAAAAATCCAGAGATTCTAGTGTATGAGTCCTCTTAAAGGAGGTGCATTGGTGACAGCTGGGATTGTCCAACTGTGGAGTTTCCAGAAGCTGCCAGGCCAGAGGGGAGGACAAGAAAGGACTGAAGGGGGACAGAATCTGAAATGAAGACCTCACATCTCATACTCTATTTTTCTGGCCTTGTCTACTCTGGGGTCATTCCTGCCCTATCTCAAATTGGCATCCCACATACAAACTTTTATTTATTTATTATCTCCGGATGGTAGATTTGGATGGTAATTTATCTTCTTGCTTATCTGTGCTTTCTAAATTTTCTTCTCTCCACATTGAAAACAGAGACCCACAATCACCATCCCTTCCTGCCCACCAATCACTTTGGAAGCCTTTGCCCAGGTCTGCCAGGCAGGATTGATGGGGAACAGTGAAGGGAGCCAGGGAGTGGGGAGTCAGGGCTCAGTGGGGGAGCACCAAAGCCAGGGGAGGCTGCAAGAGTCCAGGAGGTAGGGTTGGGGGCCTGGTGGATCAGGAGGCCCAGGCCCAGGTTTGTGGTTGTAGACATCTTCCATCTGGCAGGCCAGGTCCCCTATGTGGTGATGGCGAGCAGGCTGTTGTCATAGCAACAACAGCATGATCACACTCAACATCTCCCCAGTCTTCACCTTGTGGAAAGAGAGAGAATGTGGAGGCTTGGTAAGTCTAAAATCTGAGGATAGGCCAGCAGGCTGGAGACCCAGGGAAGAGTTGCAGCTCGAATCCAAAGGCCGTCTGCTGGTAGAATTCCTTCTTGCTCAGGGGAGGTCAGCCTTCATTCTATTAAGGTCCTCAGCTGACTGGATGAGGCCCACTCACATTATGGAGGGCCCTCTGCTTTACTCAAAGATCACCAGTTTAAATGTTAATCTCATACAGAAAACACCTTCACAGAAACACACATAAGAATGTTTGACCATTTGGGCACCATGGCCCAGCCATGTTAACCACCACAGCTTCCCATATATTATTTCATGCAGTCTTTACAACACAAGGTGAGGTCCATGCTTTTAATATTCCTATGTTATAGAAGAGAGAACCTAGGCCCGAAGAGGTTAGATGACCTCTGAAGGCCACATGGTTAGCCAGTGCCCAAGGAAGGTCTAGCAGCAATCTGTGCTCTCTGGGGCCAGGACTTCTACTGTTAATTGTTGTGGTCTATAGCCTTGGGGTGAATTTGTGTGTTAGAGCAATCCTGAACATCCTTAAGGGGCCTAGGGACTAGGGCCACAGATTACCTAATTACCAAAGGTTAGAGCTGAAATGATCCTTAGAGCTCATCTAGTCCAACTTATTCAACCAACAAATAGGAAAATCAGAACTCAGAGAAGAAAGAAATTTGCCCAAAGTAATATAGCTTGTTAGTGGTACTCACAGGCTTAACGTCATGCACTAGCTAAATGTCCTATGAGAATAAATGGAGAAAATGATACTCCTCCAAATCTGTAACAAACAGCCACGTGAGTGCATAAATGCATACTGTGTTCATATATATATTTATATATAAAGTAGAAATTCATGTGCAGTTATTAATGTATTATAGGTTATATGTATTCTTATGCATTTTTCATATCATAAGCACAGATATTTGGAATCTGTTTCTATAAAGAATGACTTACTTTTAAGGAAAGGAAAATCAATTGAATGCCACATTAGTAACAACCAATTTGATTCACCTTGCATTTCAGAGATAGATGTTAAATATGGCACTCATAAGATTTTAAAATTGTGAATAGGGAGTATAAAACTATCCCCCAGACACAAAATAACTCAGAAGAGATGTCAATTTTATTTTGTGAACAGCTACAGGAGTTGAGGGTGAGTAGGTAAAGGAGGCAGGGGAGGGTGAAGCAGACACACACACACACACACACACACACACACACACAGAGCAGGGCGTGGAGAGAAAAACCATGACAGATACTAAGGAAGATTCATGTCAGACCCAGACACAGAAAAAGGAGAAAATTTTCATCTTTTTTTTTTTTTTTAGGCAGAGCCTTGTTCTGTTACCCAGGCTAGAGTACAGTGGCGTCAGCTCAGCTCACAGCAACCTTAAACTCATGGGATCCTCCTGCCTCAGCCTTCCGAGTAGCTGGGACTATAGGCACGCTCCACCAAGCCTGGCTAATTTTTCTATTTTTAGTAGAGACAGGGTCTCACTCTTGCTCAGGCTGGTCTCAAACTCCTGAACTCAAGCAGTCCTCCCACCTCCGCCTCCCAGAGCACTAGGATTATAGGTGTGAGCTACCGCACCCAGCCTCATTTTCATCTTTGGCCTTTTTAGAATACAACTACCAAAAACTTGAAAGGTAGGGCTATAGGCTACAGTTTTTTCAGATATGGGACTCTTCCATAGTATTAATCTTGTGGGTCATTTGGAATTATGCAGAGAACAGGGAACTAGTTGTTTTGTTTCCAGACTCTCTAAGTATCTTCAGGGCAAGACTGGGTCTTCCGTTTTTTTCAACCCCTTTCAACAGCTAGAATGGTGTTCTGTCCCTAGTCTGTGTCTGTTGACTGACTCTTTTATCTTTTCCTGTGGGTAGATTAACTGCAACGGCTTCACCCTTAGTGACCAGAGAGGCCTGCAGGCAGTGGGCGTGGGCATCTTCCCCAACCTGGGCCTGGTGAACCATGACTGTTGGCCCAACTGCACCGTCATATTTAACAACGGCAAGTGAGTATGTCTTAAACTGGGGGTGCGTGATGGACATAGGGAGACTTTATGGTGTTTTTTCCACTTGACTTAAGCCAAAGTTAATCTGTTGAACCTGGACTAGCATGGATTTCAAATGTATGGCAAATAGGAACCTCATTCCAGAATAACTGTAGATGGGAGAAAGGTGTCAGGGAGGATATCAAAGAATTCAACATGGGTTATTTCTGAGTCTTTGCATGTTTCTTGAGGCTGCCTAGATGTGTTAGGTAAACCTCTAACTACTATTTTAAAACTTGAAGGCTGGGATTATCCCTAGAGGTAGGTCATGAAGAACGACATTGACTGAGAAGGGGTGTGGCAGGAGCATACTATTAGTCAAGGTCCCAGCAGGAGACAGGAGACACACTCAAAAGGGTTTGTCCAAATAGAATTTAATGAAGGGACAATTGACAGAAGTGTGGGCAGGGTTTAAGAAACTAACAAGGACTGGTGAGGTGCCCAGGGTCTAGCAACCTGTGAGACCATTACCACCCCTACATCTGGAGGCGCGAGCGAAGGAAGTGCTGTTCCTGAAGCCAGTGAGTGCCAGGCATGGTAGAGGGGCCCGCACCAGCTCGGCTGTGGCTTATGGCTGTGCCTGTAGAGAAACCAGATACTGCTGGAACATGGAGCGGCAGAGAGAAAGCTAGTGGACTAAATATCCCAACCCCTCATTCCTCCCACCTTCTGACGTCCTCCTGTTGGCCAAACCCCAACCAAAAGCCAGAGAGCAAAGGAACCTGGGTGAGCAGCCCTCAGGGGTCAGCCCTCTGCCCCTAGGAAGGTGCAGATCAGGGACATAAGGGCGAAGAATGGATCTCGGGGGTGGGACACAAGTGGAGAAAAATTAGCAAATGGGATGAGCCCTGGTTGTCTGCAGCTCAGATTGGGGACATGTGGCCTGAGCAATATTAATTGCTTTTTCTCTTAGAGATGAGCTATCATGACAGATGCAAGTCTACTCTGAGCCATCAATAATGAGCATGTTTCCCCTCCAAACTTCCTGGAAGCCAATGACAATTTCCAGTTCTTAGCTGAGGACCAAGCCTATGCTTCAATGTAACAAGGACTCTGATTTCCCTTTCATTCCTATTTTTGAAACCAGGCTCTTAAATAATTGAGAAAGTCTCTCAAGATGGAAAAGTTTATTTTGGACCCAGATGATAATCTTTTCTTAGCATTTGTGTTTCCTTTCCTAAGCCTCTTGGGGTCATTGGCCTGGATGGACCCCATGGAATCCTCCCTAGAGGGCTGTTGTCCAAGCTTAACCTGCTTGGCTAAGAGGATCAAATTCAGCCACATATAGGGCAGAGCTTTAAAGATGGAGCTCCCCTAAGTGGAGGTCCAGGGCTCCTCTCGTCACTACGTGTAACAACCACAGGAGCCTAGGAGCTCTTTCGTGAGGTCATCTTCAATGTTTGCTCTGCCTTCCTTGCAGCTACTAATTTCCAGCTCCCACGTTTTATCCAGGCTTCTTGGCTTTTGTGCAAGAAGGTGGCTTTGCAGTTACTGCCTAGCTGCCTGCCATAGTGGAAAGAACCCTGGACATGGGGTTAGGGGCCCAATTCTAACCCTGACAATTTTTACTTGCTACCTGCATGACCCAACCAGTCTCCACTCTCAGTCAAACTCTCCCCAAGACAAACATCCAAAGAGGCAACGCTTATTTATCCAGGATGCTTGTTAATGGGTTAATAATAACAACATCCCATATGTTTTTTAAATGCATCTTCTCATGACAGTCTCATTACAGGTGAAGCCCAGGGAAGGAAAGTAACTTGCTCAGGGCTGAGTACCCTTTCTTTCTAAATTCAGTGCACTTTCCACTATACCAGGCTATGTCTTAGCTGGTGAGAGCTGCTAGAAGGGGCTGAGATAAAGGTTGCTGCGGTGACCAAAGCTTTGATTGTGTAACCCAGAATGCTGTGCACCCTTGCTGGCCACAGTGCATCAGCCAATGGTAATGATTTCCATTTGGGTGTCTGTTTTGTCTTTCAGTCATGAGGCAGTGAAAGCCATGTTTCACACCCAGATGAGGTGGGTCAGTCCTTCCAAGCATCCCTACTCCTCTGACCCATCTCCCTCACTTGCCTGCTTTGCTGGGGCCCATTTCCAAGACTCCTTGGCTGTTGTCGGTCTGTAATGTTTTCTGCACCCCAGTGTCTCATCTTCACTGAATGGCATATTTTTAATGCATTTAAATTAACGATTTATTTCTTGTCCACACACTACTTGCTTTGCCTTTGCTTTATTTTCCTTCCTTTCTTCCCCCTCTGTCACTCCTCACTTCCACTGCTCCTCCATCCTCAGAGCATGAACCCTTCTAGTCCACACCATCTTAGCAGAAACCTACATTGTCCCCCTAAACCCTGCTTACCATGAAATGAGGACTGTTGATACCATTGACCTACTAAATGACTGTGTCTGTTTGTAAGCCCTGACTTCTCACCCAGACACTATGCTATGAAAAAATAGCATCCTTACTGTGATATTTTGATAAACATCTATTCATAGTATGCTGTTTACCACTTCTGCCAACTATGAATTAGTGGTTTAGGTTAAATTTTACTTTCGATGTTTTTTAATGACAACCCAATGGACCCAGATGGGTCTTTTCCTCAGGCTGGGCTTGAAAGTCCTTGAAAAGGTCTTTGGATTAAGAACAAAACACTATGTGGGAGTTTGGGCTTTGGGAAAGCAGGGGTAGGAGTGGCCAGTGTATATGAGTTGTGTTGATGTGCACTGCATGTGACTTTGGACGATGTACATCATGTCCTGGGCTTGGGTTCCACATCTGTAGAGCAAAGATAAAGAGGAGAGCATCTCCAGGGACCTTCCTAGTTCTAAGTCTCTGTGTTCTGGGCTCTGTTCCTGCCTCTGCAAGAAATACGTAAATAATTTGTCTACTTGTGGCTCCATTAGCTGAGCTATAGAATTGCGGAGTGTTGGGGATGGAAGGGGTCTGGGGTCCAGGGTGGGAAAGAGACTTGTCCAAGGAAGCTGGTTGGAGGGAGGGACATGGCTAAACCCCATCTCCTGACTCCCACAGTGAGATTATTCCATGTTAGTCACCATTCTTCCTCCCCCAACCCCTAGTTCCAAGTAAGGAAAAATGGGGTGGACATGTATGCATTTTTTCATATTTAAGTGACATTAAGTTAATTTGGTTTTGAAAATTCTCTAAAACCATTGAAATAATCTAAGGCACCCTGAGATCTTATAAAAATTGTCAAACCATGATGGGAAGCAAAGTTACTGGAAGTTCCAACCCAGTTGGCTACTGAGTCACTGTTGGATTAGGATATGTCACTACAGCGAGCTGCCTCTGTAAAGGGGACAAGCATGGGAAGAACTTGTTACTTATCCCACCAGGGACAGACATCAGAGATCCACACTCCACACTGGCCCAGGGGTTGCTCACACAGAACTATTTACAACATTAGTGGAGTCCTAAAAAGCAAGGGCTTCAATGCATCTCATTCCCTGTGCATCGAGGACCTGGAAGGCAGCTTGGGAACGATCAGGCAAGGCCAGTATGACGTGGGGAATCGTGAATGGCACTCGAGTTCCACTCCTGACTGTTGCAACAGTGTGTGGGACCTTGGAGGAAGTTGCTTACCTCTCTTGTGTCAGCATCCTCATTTGAGAATTGAGGGTCCCCTGACCTCAGACATACTAGGCTTCTAAGCACAGCTGTGAGCAGAATCACCCAGCCTCCCTCTCCTGCTTGCTTTTCATCACTTGCTGCTGAAAATTGGGGTGGCGAAGAAAGGAAAGAAAGAATAAGAGATGAGCAGACACTTAGGTTTTTCCAGCTTCCATCTGAGCTGTTTTTATACATATTATCACATTTATTGGGCATGTCAGTGTATACCACTTTGGGAGAAGGTTTATTATCCTTAAGTGCTCACTTTAGATGCCTGGACATGCGTATCACTGCCATTCAGCAGTTGCTCCCTTGGGTGTCATCTCAGAGTATGGGGCTTCCTTTGACTGGGACCCTCCTGGGAGTCTCCCCTGCCTTTTGCATGGTGTCTGACTAAGCTTTTCTGGGAGGTAAAAGAAATGACTGCAGATCTCTGTGCAGATTTTCTCCCCAGCCCTCTGCATCCTGCCACTTGCTGTCTGGGTGATGTTTTCCCCCAGGCTGTGAGGCCCCAGGATCTTGGGGAGATAGAAGAGATTGGCTTAGGACCCAGCTTGCAGGCCTCGCCACTTGTTTTCTGCAGCTGTCTGGCCTTGTCTGGAGGGTACGTGGCTGAGCGGCCCGCGGGCTGGCCTCCACCTCTTGGGCTCAGCTGGTTGTCTGTTCTGCAGGGGGCTTTTTCCTTCAGCACCTGCAGTGTCTATTACATGGTAAGGTGGATAGTGCTGTCAGATCAGGTCTAAGCCAGAGGGGAATCGAAATGCCATCTTCTCTTGCTAACCACCTTCAACCAATAAGCCACGTCTCCTAGAAAACACAGAAATAAACAATGCAGAGGGCTGATAGAGCCAGCCTTTGTTATTTGCCTTCACTGGTCTCCAGTGGGCATAAGTCTCCTCATAGGCCTGAACCATTGGGCTGAAGGTCAAGGTAAGAGGGAGCTTAAAGTTCGACACAGAGTGGGCCAAGACTGTGGGTAACAGAATGTATGTGTGTTTCCAAGAGAGTAGTCCCGAAACTAACCAGAAATAGTTTTTAGGTCTTTTCTTGTTTGGAGTTTTTGCCTTATGACTTCTCCCTTCCATTTGTTACAGACGATCAGTAGCTAAATGTATGGGGCTGATACCGGGTATGGAAGCTGCATATGGTCTTACGACTGCGTCCAGCCTTCTACTGGGAGTCGGTGTGAACTGATTCCAGAGCCATTAATGGAATGGAGCAGATTGGACTGTTATAATGAATGGCGTGGAATTATCCAGAAAACTGTCCTTTAAGTCATGTTCCCCTTTTGAGGGGAATGGGAGTTTTCTCAGACTGCTAGTGGAAGTCACTGTCTTTGAGACTCCACTTTGTGAAGCCTTGGAGGACACGGATCCCATTTCCATAGGCCTAGATTCTACTTACTTTATTTTTTTTTTTTATCCTGCTCCAGAATTGAGCTGCGGGCCCTGGGTAAGATCTCAGAAGGAGAGGAGCTGACCGTGTCCTACATCGACTTCCTTAACGTCAGTGAAGAACGCAAGAAGCAGCTGAGGAAGCAGTACTACTTTGACTGCACGTGTGAGCACTGCCAGAAAAAGCTGAAGGACGACCTCTTTCTGGGGGTGAAAGCCGACCCCAAGGTACATGCGGCCCTGCCGCTGGGGGATTTTGGCCATCTTCTGTAGGAGCCAGTCAAGGGTGGTTTTGTACCCCTGTCCAGAGCTTCCCAGGGAAACAGCCTGTAAGCCCTGGGGAGGTGGCGTGGGATGATGGACAGAGCGCTGCAGGTAGGTCCCAGCTAGTGTCCTGGCACCACCACTGACCAGGTGTTTGGGAAAGTTGCTCGGTTTTCTCAACTGTAAAATAGGAATGGTGGCCCCACTACAGGAAGTTGTTGTAAGGATTGAGCAAGATGATGTATGCTTAAGGGACTGGCATACAGAAGAGACACTCAGCAAATGTTGGCTCCTCCTGTTGCTCCTTTGCAGGTTAAGCAATGCTGAGGATTCAGATATCAAGACCAGATGGGCAAAGAGATTTGTCGTTTGGTTATCACAAAGATATTCCTAGTCCCATGACAATGGGAGATATGGAGATGGGGGAATGTTTAGATAGGTTAACATCCTTAACTCCTGGATCACTGTTGCTGGTTGCTGGTGAGCCCATTGAGTAGTGGGTCGCCAGAGCAAGGCTTACTCAGGAGCTCAGCTGAGTTGCCAGGTGTCAGAGTGGCCGGTGAAAGTGACAAGCCAGGAATGAGAGTGACGTCTTTAATCACTTACTGCAATAGTACAAGCAAGAAGCTAAAACCAGAGAAAGTGCTGACTCCTCCTGGTCCACATCCTCTCCTGGATCGGTGCAGGTGCATGGGGAGGGTCGGGTGGATCGGCACAGTGTGGGTTGTCTCACTGCTGAGGGAGCCCCCACAAAAGCTCTGGTAGTTTTGTGGACCCTGGGGTTGGGGAGATATTGAGGGGGAAGGGATAGGAGTGGAAAAGTATTTGGTACTGAGTCAGAGTGGGGGAAAGTCTTCAAGCTTCCCCCTCCTCCTCTCCTAAGGAGGCCAGATAAAGAGACCCAGGAACAAAGGCATCAGGGCTAGGAATGCAAATCTGTGAAGAGTGTGACCAGCCAGGGGAGCCTGAGTCCTTGACTGCAACCCCCCTCAGAGAATGCCAGGCACTGGCTGTGCACCATGTCTGGTGTGGGGAGAGCAGGCTTCCCTTGAGGCCTGCCAGGTAGAACCTTTGTGATTGCCTATGGTCAGGCCTGAAAAATCCCACATAGGTTTTTAATGAGGAGCCAGACTCCTCAGGGGAGGGTGACTGAGCATTTCTGTGTAATGACAGTCCTCTTGTGCACACAGCTGTTCAGTAGGCTGAGGCGGGAGGATCACTTGAGCCCAGGCGTTTGAGTCCAGTCTGGGTAACACAGCAAGATCCCGTCTCTAAACAAAATACAAATACACAAATATATTTCTAAATTAACTTCTGCATCTTATGGGCAGAAATTTGCCTCTGGTTAGAGCAAAGGCTGCAAACAAAACTGACTCCTCAGTACAGCTGATGCGGCCCCGTCAATGACTTTCATTACTCAGTGGTGTCGGTGCGAATGCTCAGAGGACACTGTTCCCTCACTTGACTGATGTCTTCCTTTCATCTCTGGCTATTCTAGATTTTTTTTTTTTTTTGCCACTAACTTATTTTTATTCTTAATATATAACATTTTCCCCTTTTGACCAAGAAATTCTCCTTCTAAGAATTTACCCTGCAGATAAACTTGCACATGTGCACAAAGATGTATGTATACAGCAGCATGCTGGCGGCACTGTTGGGAACAAGAAAATATTGAATAAAAACAAATAACTACCAACAGGGAAATATTTAAATGAAGGAAATACTCTGCAACTATTAAAATGAATAAGGTGGATCTTTATGTACAGATATGGAATGAGCTCCATTTCTTAAGGGAAAAGAATTAAGGGGCCAAACAATGCCATGTGTATTCGTCTGCTAGGGCTGCTATAACGAAGTCACACAAACTGGGGGGCTTCAACAACAGAAATTTGACTCATAGTTTTGGAGAGTTTGTTCCTTCCAAAGGCTGTGAGAGAAGGATATTTTTCAGACCTCTCTCCTGGGCTTGTGGATGGCCGTCTTCTCCCTGTGTCTCTTCACACGGTCTTCCCTCCATGCTTGTCACTTTCTCTTCACATGGCATTCTTTTTATAAGGACACTAGTCATATTGGATTAGAGGCTCACCCTAATCCAGCATGATCTCATCTTAACTAATTACATCTGCAGTGACCCTATTGCCAAATAAGGTCACATTTTGAGGTACTGGGGATTAGACGTCAACATATGTGAATTTTGGGGGATGCAGTTCAACTCATAACACTGTGTATGCTACCATTTATGGACATTAAAAGGGACGTACACACTCGCGCACAGACCCATGCCCACCCGTGGGGGTGCAATCATACAGACAGAAGTAGGAAGAGGGAGCTGTGACCAACAGGTCAACAATACCTGGGGTGGGGAAACTGAGAGTCGTCCCTCCAAGGCAGGAGACAAAGCAGCTGGGACCCAAGGATTAATGTGCTTTCTGTAAGAACAAACTCCTTGTCACAGAATCAAAGGTTCTGTATTCCAGGAAATGTGTACGGGATATATGTGTGAGGCACCCAGCGCAGCATCATGGGTGTTACAGAGAGTAAGCTGCTGCACTCACACTCACCCTGACCTCCAAAAGCTGCTCTCTTTTCTCTCTTCCAAAATTAAATAAAACAACCATGTGTTATTTCTCTGAATCTTTTGATGTTTACCTGGTAGTTTCCATAGTTAATCTGATGATGTGTGGCCTTTAGTTCCTATCCCTTCATTTTAGATATTCTGTTACCAGATGGTGACAATATGCCCAGATCTTCCAGTCTGAATTGCAGAGCTGGCATCTCTCTTGATATGAAAGATGGATGATTTCTGCTTGAGCCTACCTGGATTCAAAGCAGAAGTTTTCCATTATTTTTTTTACATCAAATTAGGTTTCTCTATTCAAATAAATAACTCAAAATAAAAATAACTCACCTTTAAAAACTGAGCAGAAAAAAATTAAGTGTGCTATCCCTTTTTAAAAGCAAATTCCTTGTAAGACATAAAACAAGGCCATGATGATGTAGTAGAAAGAATAATGAAAAAAGAACTAAGAGGCCCGTGTTCTAGTTCTGGCTGTGACCCTAAATGTCTGAGCTTGGGCAAGTCTCTTCCTTTTGAACCTCAGTTTCCTTATCTGTAAAATGGGAAGCTGGATTAACTTATTAATGGTTTCTTCAAGGTGGACTATCAACAATGTCACCACAGTTGTTTTTCTTCCTTTTCCTTACAATGCTTTGTCCTGGCCTGATAAACACCCCACCTCAGTATGCCAGCCTGAAACATTTAATTGGCATCAAAATCTTTTCTAGGTCCTTTAATTAATACTTGCATAGATAAATGTACATAGAAATAAAAACCAAATATTTTTTTAAATGAGACTATAACACCACAATATCTAACATTTCCCTCAATTGTACTTTTGGACTCTCTTTGTTTAGGTTGCCTGGGATTTTCTTTTTCTCTCTCCAGCCTTCACCCATGATTTTCACAATAGGGATGTGCCAATTTCCCTCTTACCACCCCTCCTCCCCGCTCCCATTCCTTCCTCTCCTCCTCCTCTGGCTCCTGCCTCCCTCTTGCTCTTTGCTTTCTATTTATTTGGATGCTTTTGGAGAGGGCAGTTTGGGAGTTCCTTCAATCTTATCTACAAACAGGAAGGTTTCTGCCTTTACTCGGAAAAGCAGAGCCAAGTGGAACAGCCCCATTTCCTTCCTCAGAATAGATTTATCACATGTTGCACTTTTTAATTAACAACCTTTCTGCAAGGCTGTTTTGGGAATCTTGGAAGTTGCCTCCTTTAAAAAAATTGATTCACTTCCAGACCTTAAAGTGACACTCTTCCTGACGTCATCAAATTGAGCAAGATTTTTTATGAACATCTAAATGCTTGGTATTCTCCAAATCTACCCTGCAAGCTACTGATTACGCCAGAAGATTCATTAAGAATCTTGAGTTTTAAAGGTTATGGAACTTACAGTAGATTAGAGGCTAGTGGTCGCAAACTAGACTTGATTTTGTGCGTCATTACTTGGGCAACGAGCTACGGATGAAACTAAAAGTGTGGGTCTGACAGATGATGGTATACCTCTGGACCGCCAGTCACAGAACTCTGCACAGCCGGGCAAGAGTTTACTACTGCACTTGATTCAAATGGGCTTAGGAAAGCAGGCACACACTGAAATGACTTGTCTGGAACAAAGACACGATTTGAGTTAACAGAAGGCTAAACAACACTCTGGGTCTGGAAGGCAGCAGCTGAGTAGCAGCAGGAAGGCAGCCAGAAGCCAGAAATCACAGCCAAATCAAAGTTCAAGAAAGGTTAAGGCAGGATTTAGATCTGCAAGCCAAAGTCAGAGAACTGACGGGTGTATTGATTGTTGGGGTCAGGCCATGGGACACACAGAAGAATTCCAGGGAATCCCAGATACAGAGGGTTTGGAAACAAGGGTCGTCAAAATTGTAGGGATAGTCAAGAGCTATGCAGAAGCCAAAGCAGGTAAGGTGGGCAGAAGGTGGGCACATACAATACCCCTTTCCTTAGGAGGTCCTGACCCTGAAGCAGGCTGTCCTGTCCAGAGGCCTCTCCC